CCCCAAAACCCCAAAACCCCAAAACCCCTAGATTATTATATTCTCTTAAAATTTGAAAAATAATAATTGCCAATCATTATAATTAATAAAATGTCTAGGAGTAGTAAATTTTTGCAGTGGATCAACTACAGAGTCAGAGTGACGATTCAGGATTCTAGGATGCTTGTAGGCACATTTATTGCCTTTGATAAGCATATGAACTTAGTGCTTGCTGACACCGAAGAGTATAGAAAAATCAAGCCTAAGAGACCCGAAGATAAGGAAAGAGAGCAAAAGAGGGCTTTAGGTTTAGTATTGTTGAGAGGTGAAAATATTGTCACAATGAGTGCAGAAGCACCTCCATCGCAACCAGCCAGAAGAATAGGAGAAGGAGCAGCTATGGGAGGACCAGGCAAAGCTTAACCAATGGGAAGAGCAGTTCAAATAACTCCATTAGGATAATAACCACCTCCAGGCTTGGCAGGACCAGGCAGAGGAGTTGGAGCTCCAGGCATGATGCCACCAATGGGTCAACAATAGATGAGGCCACCTATGCCAGGTCAAGGTCCTCCAATGAGAATGCCACCTCCAGGCATGATGCCACCACCAGGAATGGGTCCCCCTCCAGGTATGAGAATGCCTCCTCCAGGTATGATGCCTCCACCAGGAATGGGACATCCTCCAGGTATGAGACCACCTCCTCCCTAACAAAGACCCCCGTAATGATAAATAAATCTTTAATTAATTGCTTTAATTTTAATCTTCAACTCAATAATTTCATCTTACGTTTACAAAAAGTTATTTTAATTAATTTAGATATACTTAACTCATTCCTGTTTTAATAAGCTAATGTCTTTTGAGAGGCTACTATCATTTTTCTGAATTTTCTTTGGCTTCCTTTTATTTACTGTATTGCTCTCTTTCTTTAATCCTCTTTTCTCTTTTACTCATTACATCTTAATATAAATCATAGTTATCTTCATAGTTTCCATACAAGGGGGACTTTAACATCATTAACTCAGATGCTATTGGGACTACTGTAATCACGATTGAAGTCTATTATATAGATTGAATTTTGAAACAAGCTTACTGCTAATAGATAGGCGAAGTATCCTCTAAATAATCCTTTAACTCCCTCTTCTCTCCACATCAATCCCAAAGCATGAATATTGCCAATATATCTATTTAATTATTCCAGATATCAAATTCTTACCTTAATGGGAGCATGCCTGGCATTTTAGTAGTTTGGCATTCCATACGCCTCTGTGCAGTCAATATTGGATAGGCTAGTGTGTGGAAAGCTAAGGTTTGGCCAAGATATGCGAATATATTCACAGATGAGAAATAATTGAAACCAGCTAATAAGTTATGATATACTTGAAATCTTACTCATTGCAAGCAAGAAATTTCTCGGTATATGGGCAGTAATTCCCTTCAATATTTCAGTGTAATTCCTGATAATGAACATGTAAGTGCTTCGGTAAGATTAAAAGTTAGGCAATCTATTTTGCAAAATGAATCTAGCCTCAATCAAATGCAGAGGATGTAAGAGAAGACTTGCTGTTGTTGCCGCTAAGAAATCTCTCCAAAATGAATTCTTTCTAAATATATCATCTCCAAAGTCCAAACTATAGGAAATATGATTTCTCATTGCTGCATAGAGAAAGATGTGAGTCATTCTAAGGCCATTTCCTTTGTAAAAGCCGAGTATACCCTACTTCGATAAACCTTATATGCATTCCCAGTAAGTTCTGTAAACAGGTGCTCTGTATGGTTTATTTAAACCTAAAAGTATGATAATATATTATCGATGTTGTACCAACTTGACCGGAGGCCTTCATAAGATCTGCTCTCGGCTCTTTTGGCTATGTAATTTCAAATTTTAATTCAGTGCTGAGAGGATTATCAGTTTTGCCTGGGAGCTATTTAGTCTTTTCCTTCTCAATGTCTTTTCCAAAGAGTGAATCGAAACTCTTAGTAATCACTCCCTTTTTCTTTACATCCTCTGGCTTCACATCACCATATATAGTCAAATGTGGAATAACTGAAAGCTGCATAGAGGTCGCAATTGTGTAAAGAGGAGATGTGATGAGTCTAGAAAAATGAGATATTGCTAGCATTTTATTCTTACGTTAGAGCAGTAGTCATATATACCATATATGTGCTTTTGGCCTAATCAACCTTAACTATATAAATTACTTAGCCTGATATGCACTCTACATTTGTATTCTTTTATCAATTAGAGGAATCTCGGATCTCGTTCAACAGGAGAGAGTTCTTGACTCAACTGCTCACTCTGATCTTTAAATGTTGATCTTAATGCCATTAAATTTCAATTTATATACTTGAATAAATTTCTATAATATATTTAGTGGTTTCTAATTGATTACCTAGATGAATTTTGCTAATGGGGTTTTGGGGTTTTGGGGTTTTGGGG